GTTTTAATATAAGTGTCACTCTACAGCTATGCACACGGATTAAGGAAACAATTAATTTTACATATTTCCTATATAAAAACACAATTACCCACACACCTAACCATATTTTAACCAATAGAAAAACAAATTACATAATAAAATTAATAAATTTTGCATTGAAAACCGAAAACGACACTTATTTTGTAACACAAAAAATTCTTTACAACGACACTTAATATAAAACGGAGGGAGTATTGTGCAAACAAGTATATTAATTTAACAAGTCTCTTAATTAACTCGATATCTACTAATTAATTAAGAAAAGCCTATTAGGAATATCTATTGTAAACATGTCTATTAATTAATTTGATACAAATGTAGAAAAATAATTATTTTATAACGCTCCGACTACTTACCGTTAATGGATTATTTACGTCCATTAACTTAGCCTGTAGACTCATCTGTTCTTTCTAGCGCTCTTTAATGAGGTCGATCACTGTTGTTGTTTGTGCAGTTAACTGTGTACAATGAACTGTTAATTTTCGACATTTGAAATATTTGTTCAAAAAAAAAAAAAAAAAAATATTTGTTTATTGATTTGACAATTATCACATGCTATTTATTCTTTTTTGGATTAATCATACGATAGTATAAATCATCTTTTGATAGAATTCATTGTTTCATTACTCCATTCAAACACACTTCTAATTATTAAAAAATTACTAATGTGTACAAGAAAGAGTTAATACACTTTGCTAATATCTAGATAAATTAATTCTTTTAAATCTTTTAATATACGCCACAATATATCATAAACGGGTTTAGCATTTAGTTAACAAGGAAACGCATGCTCATAAGGATTACGTACAAGCCAGGTAAAAGAAGAGAACACATATACATTTTTTAACATATTGTTTTAATAATACCAAATCAAGAAATCACAAAGCTACTATATTATCGACCTAAGGAGTGATGTGTAAAAGGTACAGTATTTTGACACTTTCATTCCCCTCACGTATAAAATACAAAACGCAAAAGAAGAACAAAAAACTCCACTAAAGCACTAGACCATGCAGGCTATATCTCTCAAAGGCGGTGGTGCAAAGCGGAGACAGGTGCGTGCGCGGTGGCTGCAGCTGGAACCGGTGGTTTACATTGGTAACACTTAGCAAAGAGACCAAAAGTGTCGACTTGACGAACAAAGTTGGTAACACTTGCCCATCCACCGAACCCGAATCCAACTATTAGAACCCAAATAACCACGAAAGCGTTCAACACGTACATCGCCGTCCAGCTCGGCAGGAAGAACGGCGGCTTCTCCGCCGCATTCTATAAGAAAAATCCAAAGAAAAAATAAATAAAGAACCACTGAATAGAGAGAGAAGGAGCCTGTGGTGTTTGTGGGCATTGTCGTATAGTAATGGATAAGATCCAAAGCTTTGTTGACCCAAAGAGATAGATATGACTGTGATTTGTCATACTCAGACTCTTACTTTAGTTTTAATGTTAGGCAAAGAGTCTCTATTGTACAGCTCTTTTTTTCATTTCTGATTATGACCCTTACCTATTCTCCTATCCCTTATTTTCCTCCATGTTCTAACCTTTTTCCTCCTATATTAATATAAGGGAATATAATATACAAGAGTTTGAAAAGAAACAAGAAAAAACAAGAAATAGTTCATGGTCAATTACTAATTCTAACCTAACCTGAAAACATGAGTTTGGAACTTTACTTTATAAAAGCATAATAAAAGAATGAGACTGAAACCAACTCAATGAAAATTTAGGGGGACGCCAGTAAGGACTGTGGGTGCTGATTCTATATTCCGTAAGATACGGACCACATATCATCATCTATCTTTGGAAAAGACCTTTATACCCTCCAATGCCAAGTAACTATTCACAACCCTAATTGAATATTACTCCACTGACCGTTCGTTTGAGCATGTAAAAGCATACCTGACGAGCGGATGCAGATCGGTAAGTGAGCATGTGAGCAAGGGACGGGATGATATAGACGGTGAAGCTAACCAGAAGAGCACCAACCGCGGAATTGATAGGACCGAAAAATGGAAATATAATGGCTAAGAACCATATAGGTATAACCACAGGCAATCGAGCTAAAGCCCTCAAGCAAATGCTCTTTGTGTCATGCATCCCTATCACTTTCTCCCACACAAAATAAAGCGGGGTACACGCGAATCCGAACGTGATAAACTGCACGAACACATTACATTATCTTAATTAACGTCAACTTTACTAAATGAGAAAGAAAAAAATGTTAAATAGAAGGTTTAGTATATCTTAATTACCTGGTGAATGAGCATGAGTATAACGGCGGCATCACGCCACCCGTTCTTGGGGAGAAGAGAGAACGCGTTGGAGTGGTCGAGAAGTTCGTCTCCGAATGCCCAGTAAACGGCGGAAGCTGACGGAATCGTTAGTGTGAAAACGTATAACGTCGCCATCAAGTAAATGTACTTAAACTTCTGTGGTTTCCACATTGCATGCATTATCTCACTACATAAGCAAATCTAATGTTAATACCCATGGTAAAAGCATATGGGTTTATTTGACATTACATAAAGGCGTACTGTTACTGGTAGAAGTGCTTGTGTGGCTTTCAATAGTGTAGGGGCAGGAATATAAATTATTATTTACGTTTATAGACTACTATTTTTATAACATTTTATTACTAGTACTTAAAGTATAGAAAAATAACAATGACAATCATCAGGACTGTAATTATAGCTACACCTTACTTGCCGGCAAAAGCTGCAATAGAAGCGGCGGAGAAATGATACATCACACATAATTTAATATTATCGCACCGATTTTAAAATACTAATCTGCCACTCGGAGCTATAGCTTAAATGGTATTCAACTATGTATGACATAATCTAGTGTTTATAAATAAACAAATTTGGTTATCTATGAGAAATAGTTAAAACAAACTTACACAGTAACCGCATGACCACCAAAGGTATACAATATATTGGTAGCCCCGGTGAAATAAAGTACTAGCTTTGTTGGACCTGAGTGTTTCACACCTTCCGTCTAAAATTTGAAAAATTAACAACAAAAATAAAATAAAAATCGTAAATAATGATTTTATTACTAAACAGTTTAGAAGAAATAAATATAAAAAAATTGGTTTAGATGCACGGAATAATTTTAATTCCTTTTCTTGTCAACAATAATTTAATTCCGCTTCTTGTCAACAATAATTTAATCCCTAACCTAATCATAAAGAGAAATACGAATATATTTTTTTTTTCTTTTTAATGAAGGCATATACTGTCACCTCATTGCAAAGCATAAAAATATGAAAACGACAATGTAGTCATCAAAACAAAATTTAATATTATCGCACCGATTTTGTAACAAAATCTAAATATATATATTTATAATAATGCATTACCTGGCCGTGGATAATGGAAGCGATGGCTAAGTACCAGGCGGTGTAAGTGGTCATACCCAAGCCGAGGAATGACCAAATCCGGTAATTATGGAACGACGGTATAAAAACAGTGGTTGCACAACACGCACCGAATATGTAAGTCCATGTTCTCTTGTCCAAGTGATCGTTTATGTAATAAATGTTACTGCAACAAATCAATCATCATTATAACTAATCATCCATTAATAATTTTAAAGAGATAGATCAATAAAAGAGAGATTAGAGAGAATACCTGGCACAAGCAATGAGTTGGATTACAGATCCGAACAAGAGGAAAGTGCAGTTAAATGCGAGACCTAATGCTTTCCAGTATGTGCCGAGTAATCCATCAAGCACTTCGAACCACTGTTAATATATTTAAGTAAAGTTAGTGAAACTTAATGACAATCAAGACCGGATTTGAGAATTTAAAGTCCACAAATATTTTTAAGTTAATCTTAACAACTTTTTTGTTGACAATAGAAACCATGCAAACTATTTATAATAGCTATTAAAAATTTTGGAGATTACAGAGAATATTACATTTAGTTGCGTCTAGAACCCCTTTCTGAGGGAATATTTATACTATATAGTTTTAATTTTACCTGAATGACGTGGTTTTTGAAGTTTTTGCCTTCTTTCTCCTTACGAGCTCGATACTCAACGTAGAGAACACTGATGAGGTAAGCAGTCCAGCTTCCGAGTAAACCATAGAAGATCTGAAGTACTATTCCTGATAACATTCCTAGTTGACTGAACGAGTACGGCAGCGTCAGAAGCACTTGCGCCACCTGAATTAGTTAGTAGTCATTTCAGATCTCTTTTTTCAAGATTTTCTTGTTTCTCAATTTTGGAATATGAGGCTTGGATCTTTCTGTTACCTGGTTAGATGCGCAGCTGAACCAAGCGTCCCATACTGAGCCACCGTGCCAGAGGAAACTGCTTAATTTAGACCCTCCGGAGCCGTCGTGCTCCTCTATTTTTCCGTTTATTTGATCTCCTTCGGTGTCATTTCCGCTCGGCACGATTGCCTCTTCTCCGTGCTTCACTCCCGCCGACATTTTTTTGCCTCTAGATCTGAGGTCAGTAAACACTTTACAGAGAGAAGAATCAAAACTAAGTGAACATGGAACATACACGGAAAATAAAACAGAGTATATGAGCTGAACAGAGAAGACTGTTAAGAAAATTAGAGTGTAGAATTATTCTTTGTTCACGTTTTTTTTAACAGAGATAGGTAGAAAGAGAGTGACTTACATTTTTCTCTTTTAGAGAATAGAAGAAGGTGAGAACGAATCAGAAGCAAACAAAGACTGAAAGTGATTAGGTCTTTTAGTTCTCACTTGTTCTATTTTTTAAAAGAAATCTCTCTCTGTCTTTCCGTGAGTTCAAGAAACAGAGCATAAGAAGAAGAGAGAAAGACTTTCTTTGATCTGAGCAAAAGAAGGAATGAAGTTAAGTAACTGTAAGATGCTTCGAGCTTCACCCCCTCTCCTTTTTATATACCAATCTCTTCTCTTTTTTTTTTCTTTAGTGTTGAACAAAAACAAATTTTATTTTAAATAAAACATAGACAGATAAAACAGCTGTTGTAAAATCACACCATTAGCCCTTTTTAAGGTAACGGTAGCATCAGGTTGTTCAAACAAAAAAAGGTAACGGTAGCATCTAACCTTTTTTTACGTTTCGCAATAAAAATTTATGTGAATATTGACATCCATGATTTCCAGGTTCTACTGAAAAAATAGAAACTAACTAGGATAATATCCGGGCGAAATATTTTTTTTTACCAAATTTATTAACATGGATATTTGTTTACTAATATGCGTAGGTATGGGCATTTATTCTTGTTTTGATTCCAAATTTATTTTACGGTTCCTAGTTTGGTTTCGGTTTGGGTGTGAGTTTTGGTTTTTGGTTCAATAACCGTTTGATTATTTATGAATTTGAGTTTGGTTTGAATTTAATTATTTTGACTTTTTTTTGTTCAAAGAACAATATTAGAAATCTGATAAAATTTCAAGTAGGAGATATAAATTTTCCGATCTTGATTCTGATTTAGGCATGTTTTAAATATGATTAGAACATTAGTATCTCTCAAGGCTATATACTTAAATCAGAAAACATCTATCATTATCACATTTCTAGTATTTCTATGTGCCTAAATTTTGATCCCTGATTTCAAACCCTGAAATACTTTTTAGGTGACAATTTATATATATAATCCCATTCTATATATATTTAAAGTGTGGGATAACCTTATTTGGCTCATCAATTTTATCATCTAACAAAGGGTTACATCAATTTGGTGCATCTGAACTATAACATTTGAGTTTGTCTATTTTCAAAGCTAAATTTTGTATTTTGATGTATCTTAATGCAACAATTTATAATATGAAGTGGATTCATATTATGTTGTTTTCAATATTAAAATAACTAAAGTTTCAAATGTAGAATATTACTTCTTCCTATTTCATATTAAGTATCGTAGAATAATTTTTTTGGTTACAAACTACGAGTCGGTTTAGAATTTTAATATTAATTTATGAAATTTATTCTTAATTATTTATTGACTGAAATATAGTAAGGTTTATAGGTTAATGATGTTTTACTTAAAAATATAAAAAATATATTTTCTTAATCTCTGTATACAAATTTAAAACAACAATTAAAATGAAACAAATAAGTATACTTTATTAAGGTCTGAATAAAAGTACAATAACAACTGTGTAAACTAATAAATGTTTTCTATACAAATCAATACTATAAAGACCTTTAAATTTAATATTACTTTAAAAATTTCACTTTGGAAATACGATGCAAACTTACGTTTCTGATTCGGAAACTCGCGATTCTGTTTGGAAACACGAAATAATAACTATTTACCATTTGATGTTAGTGATTAGATGTTTATTAACTTATATTTTAATATATTTTTTGATATTTGTTATTATCTTGAAATAATGATTTGATATAGAATGAAGCCGGCTCCAGATTTTATCAAATGATAACAAGTGTTAGTTTTCTAAATATTGATTATAATTTTTATAAAATATACCAAAAAAACACTTAAATTAATTGATTTTCTCTTTTAGTTAAATCAAGCAGAAAAATAAGTTACATGTTAACTAATCATATATATATACATATGTATATATAAACGTTTCTAAAATGTTTCCATTTCTAACTTTTTAAAAAATCAAGTTTCCGCGTTTCGAAACGTTTCGTTTCCACGTATCTGTTTCCGATTCCATGCAACCTAAAAACAAACTGATTTGGTCGTTCATATAAAGATGGAAATGTTATTGTTGTGGAATTACAAATATTTGAATCTCTTTACATTTTTTTCATTTTAAATCTAAACATAATAAATATCTTGTATATTTGGCACAAATTTATATAGTTATATGATATTCTTTTTTTTTTTATTTCGAAGGATTTGGGATATGAGAAATATCAAATATCATACGGGACATAATATTAAACAAATATTTTATTTGTTGCAGCTGTGCTAATATTATTTACACAAACTATATAATGAACAACAAAATTATCTGAGATTTCTTAAACACAATTTTCTGGATCTGGAAATTAAACACAATTTTATATATCTGGAAATTATCTGGATCTGGAAATTAAACACAATTTTCTTAATTCTGTCTATCAACCAATGAGAGATTGTTTTACATTTTTTTATTTATGTGAGTATTGTGCTACTATTTAATGAACAACAAAGGTTTGTAAATGTTAACATTCTTTCACCTAACAATAAAAATTCATGAGAATATTGACATCCATGATTTCCAGGTTCTAGTAATAAACCAAAACTAATTTGGTAACCATTTTATCAGTGTTTTTAAACCTGATCCAGGTACAGAACCGGATAACTTACCGGATAACTTACCAAGTTATCGAGGTATTGTGTTTGATTGCAAGAGAACTGCAAATTAATAAATAATTAATTTTTATATATAATAATATATTAACTATTGTTTTAAAAGCATTTAGAAAAGTACTTAATTTTTGTCTTCATTATTTTCAATCTATTTCACATACAACATATGAACAAAATTAGACTATGGTGATGATTGGTTGGGATCAAACTGTTTAACTTTAGATATTTTTTAATTCTAAAACACTAGTCTTTTTTTTTTAAGTTAAAACCTTGCTACATCATCTATTGCTATATTTTTGTTGGTTCATGTTTTACATTTTTTTTTCTTAAAATAACTGTTGAAGTGTTTCCAAAATAATTGTATCTCTCTACAACAAAATAACATACAATTACAATAATAAAAACTGCAAACTAAATTTTACAGCTACCCTTCTACATTCTACAGTCAACCAATCATCCTTATAATAAAATAGATCAAGACGTAAAATTCAAAACATTTAAATGTCTAATGTGAATAATAAAGTTATAATTCACAGAATCATATGATCTTTTTACTTTTGAAAGATTAAAACAAACTAACTTTTAATTATAAGACAAAATATATTCTAAAAATAAAACTGAAAAATCAAAAAATAATTATGTATTGGTTTAACCAGTTGCCGGATTCCAGATTTTAATAATTTCGTAAATTTTGACGAAGTTTTTAATATAATATTTTTTTCTAAAATTTAAATTGGATTATATGTTAGATCACCGAATTTACCGGTTTGACCGCATATTCAGTTTCAAAACACTGCATTTTATGGGTTCAAAATAAATATTCGTATTTAAATAAATGATAATACATTTTTTACATCTGCCAAATCATAAGTTATCATTAATTCGAAAACAATTAAGACAAGATGACAAAATAAATAATGCAACACATTAAAGTTGACTTACCATTTAGATTTAGAGATCTATTTTGTTCAATAGCTATCTATAATTAGATAACTATAATATACACGACAATCTAACACCTGCCAAAACGTAATAAGGTGAGGTATGATTAACCACTAAATTAAGATAAGTTTCATACAAATCTTAACCAGGCTTGACGCAGCCTGTAAATCTCTGTGATCCATATTTCGAATGTTTAAGGAGCAGGCAAGTTTCTTCTGATCTTTTTTCTTTTTCATAGACACTCATGTGTTTGAGTGACGAGTTTGCCAAATACTCATTTGTACATCTACAAAATGTATTTTACACATATGGTTGAAACTTTTCATGTTTACAAAATTACAACTCGCATTTTTTAGTTTATTAGTGTTCGAATTTTTAATTCTCACAGGTGGAATCATAATTTAATTCATGATTGAATTAAATTGGATTTTTTTGATGTTATACGAAAATAAATATTAACGTAATAGTTGATACAATACAGTAACTCAACTAACTCATTTGAAATCTCAGTTACTTAGATGAAATAATAATGTAAAATAGTTTAATTTTATACAATGATATTCATGATGTGGATACATGTGTTATCTCAAGAAAAAAATTGGATACTTTATCCTTAACGTCAAAGGTAGCTTGACACTAATGATCTAATGAGCTTTACTAATTTTTATATCATAATAAGAATATAACATCTACTTTGCATATGATGCTTTCAAATTGTTAAAAAAAACTGTAATATTGATGTGCATTTACACGAGTAGCACTAATGTGACAATCTTTGTTTCAAGTTTTGTAAGTAACTTGCTTGCTCAGCTGTTTAAAATTTTGAAACCCCTTGATCCCTCTCACTGTTCTCACTAACTCTATTTATATAGTCTAAGGGATAAGTTAATTAATAACTCCGAAATTTTGAATATATCAACGTATAATAATGTTCCCTTTCTTAAGAAATGTTGAATATATTAGTTCTTGAAACTTTAGAAAATTAACAACTTTGTTCCGTGAAATTTAATCAACTTGGATAATATTTTAAGCAAATGTGACTGCAAATAGACAGACCCAGTGTGTACCGTGTTTATGTAAAGGCGGCAATGTTGCAGCTTGCAGGTATTCTTTAATTTGGTACAGAAACTGCAGATTTTACCCAACAAGCTCCTTGTATTTGCTTCTGTTTCACGCACTGTTAATATCAATTTTATAATTTCCCCTGGCTAGTGGCTAATGAAA